TCCACAGCAGTTTCTTTTCTTACGGTAGACATGAGGTTGTTTAATTGCTCTCCAAAGGAGTTTCTTCTAAGATGGCAGGAAACAACTAAAATGGATTTGGCATAGGGGTTTTTACGAGGCCCCTCACAAAATTTGTTGGTGCCAAAATATTATTGGTATTGCTCTGTTTAGAGCTGAAGTTAATATTTGTAAGAAATCCATACAGGCTTCCTTTAGACCCTGTAGTAAATGTTCAATTATCTTTCTTATTTCTTTAATTCTGCCCCCAAGCATTCAAAGCTGCTGTGTGGCATAAATCCAAGGTGTGTTCATCATGTACAGCTCGCCTCTCTATAGTAGCATAGTCTCCTTCTCCAAGAATTTTATCTTGGGAGATTTTCCTACATCTATGTTTACTCAATTGTTCAATAATCTTATTTCCTTCCTCTGAATACATGTTCCATTGTAATTGTGGACTTAGCTCTAAAACACCTTTCACCAATTCTATCCAGTCTTTAGGGATATTTTTCTTAAAAACTGACCAAAAGTGCATGTCCTATGAGACTATTATTTTCTTTAATCTTTTTAAATCTAATTTTGGGAGAGAAGTCCAGTTCACTGTAACAGAGCATCTGCCATTTGGTAATTCCTGTAAGGTTACTGGATATATTAATGTTGGTTATCTGAAAACCTTAGACTGTTCCTCTTTATTCTTATAAATTGGCACTCCATTAAATTCCTCTTTCTGGATTTGAAAATCTCTGTGATCTGTTTTATTTTTTCTAAGGCCTGTATCTTAGCACTCAAATTAACCAACTTTTTAAGTGATGAGACAAAAACTATAAAGCTTATAATGTTTACAATTGACTATACATACATCTCATCTAAATTAGATATCCTCTCATTTAATCATTCAATTTTCAAATTATCTAGCATATTATCATACAGAGTCCCAACTCTTTCCACTGTACTCGATTTTTCCCATTGTTAGTGTGGAAAAAATACTCTCTCTTTTAACTAATTCCAGTCTTTAAGAATTTCCAATTGTCTTGCCAATTCTGCCTATGCAGGTTGACCAGTAAGGTTGTGGGGCATCTGTCTCCTTCAGCAGCTACATGGCATCTCCTCAACTCCAGCTTCTCTCTCTCTCTCTCTCTCTCTCTCTCTCTCTCTCTCTCTCTCTCTCTCTCTCTCTCTCTCTCTCTCTCTCTCCTTACATCTCTGTTCAGATTTTCCACCTGGGTTTACTCTGTTAAGCCAGTGGCCAAAGTAGCTTCTTTATTAACCAGTGGAAATAAAACTTATTCACAGCATGCAGAAGGGAATCTCACTCCAATTTTCCAACCTTAGCAGACAGCTACTTCTGTCTATCCAGCTGTCTCCTTTCCTGCACCAACTGCATTGTCAGCCCCTCATAATCCTTCCTCCTCTTCAGTGCCATGCTGCTGCAGCTGCCCAACTGTAGCACCAACTTTACCCCTTCTCTCATGTGCTCATGTCCTGCTAAGGAACTTAACCCTGATCAAGCCAAGCCAGCCACAACTCTCCCACTGCAATAGGTAGCCAGTATAGATGGTCAAGGTACATATCCGTGGCTTGCTCTCAGAACTCTCTCACATAGAACAAAAACTTGGTTCTTACATATCTAATTCTACCTCTTTCATAAAACAATTCCAACACATTACTTGATCTCTCCTTTCATGATATTTTTATGATACTAACTAATAACCTGTTTACTGAGGAGTGTAGTCAGATTTTGGAGCAGGCCAGAGTACATGCAGATGAGGTTCACCAGATGAATGCAGCACACCCTCCAGGGACAGAGGCAGTCCCAAGCAGGATCCACACTGAGATTATAACACCTCAGGTATTTTAACTGGAGATCAGTTTATGACTTGCTTCCTAGTGGGTCTCCACAAGGCTGTCCTGAAGCCAGTAAACTATGATAAACTCTTAGATGTTGTTCAAGATAAAAATGAAAATCTGTGTCAATTCTTAGAATGCCTCACAAAGGCTATCTTGCAGTACACTAATTTCAGAAACCCCAGAGGGCAAACAGTTTCTCATGACCCATTTCTTTTCCTAGAACTTCCTTTACATTAGGTTTAAACTTAAACATTTAGAAAAAGGCCCCTTGACTGCCCAGGCAGAAGTCTTAGAGCTGGCTTTTAAGGTATACTGTAGAAGGGATGATAAGAACTATAGACAAAAATATCAAATGCTGGCCAAGGCCATCCAACTGGCTGAAGTGACTAAGTATCCTGCCTGTGCCACTCCCTTGCTCCCTCAGGGCTCGAGGGCTACCAGGCCCATGTTTTAAATGTGGAGAAAATGTGCACTGGGACCAGGCATGTCTTATTCCTTTTATCAGTCCCTGAGTCCGTGTCTGAAGTACCATAGGGAAGGGCATTGGGCAATCAGTTGTCTTCATGGCATGGAGACATCAGATCCAGATAACTCCAAAACTGACCTTCTAGGTGTGGCCATAAATGATTGAGGCTGCCTGGGCTCCCATGGCCCAACCACAACTAATATCTGTAATACAGAGCCATGGGTGAATATCACAATATCAGAATGGTCCATCTCCTTTCTCTTGGACACCAGAGCACATACTCCATACTGAGGGAGTTTTAGGGACTTACTTCTCCTTCTAATTTACCTATTGTCGAAGCAGGGGGACAGTTCTACCTCATAAGACCACACCACTCAATCGTAGTTTTAGGGGTATTCCTCTCACACATTCACTTTTGGTCATGCCAACCTGCCCTATACCTCTTAGGGGAAGAAATTTTTTAGCTAAAGTGGGAGCTTCTATTTCATTTGCTTGACCCCAAGCTCTCTAGCAACTTCTCTCCATCTTATCCTAACATCTCCAACATGTCATATCCTTTGCCAGTCTCTCAGGTGGACCCCCAGTCTGGGACACCCAAAAGCTCTTGTTACTAAATACCATTTTCCCAGGTACAATATCCAAGCACAGTACCCACTTTCACTCCAGAGCCTTAGGGGACTTAAGCCTGTCATCTTTGACCTTCTAAGAAAAAAGCTACTTTATCCCACCTCTTCTACTTTTAACAACCCTATATTGCAGTTCAAAAGCCCAACAGAATCTTATCACCTGGTTCAAGACCTACAGCTCATTAATTCTGCAGTGGTCCATCTTTATCCTGTAGTGTTTAATCCTTACACACTTCTTTCCACTATCCCTCCAGAAACCTCCCACTTCTCAATTCTGCATATCAAGGGTGACTTTTTCTCTATTCATCTCAGCTCGCAATCTCAAGATATCTTTGCCTTCGCCGGGAATGACCCCGACATTCACCACTCCAGAGCATACAACTCCCAGGCCAGGGTCTAGGGTGATGCTCCCAACTTAACATTCCAGACTCTTTGGATATAGGGGTGGGTGACAGGAAGTTGGGGTGATAATTATGACCAACATTTTAGGCTCTCTTTGGAAAAATGGCATAGACTCAAGTTTGCTACTTCCTGTGTGCATGGGATGATGTGGGAGAGGGAGAGCTGAAAGGTGGTGGGTTCATGCTCAGCAGGAGATGTGGCTTGAAAGACACCCTGTTCACTGTCATCCTGGAGATTCCAGTTGTTGTGTTTTTAAAAATATGGAGTGTCCCGGCTGGGCTGGTGGAGCCGCGCAGAGCTACGCGGTCCCGAGCAGCCAGTCCCAAGGTGCTGGCGGCCCAAGCAGGTTCCCAGCAGCAGGAGGGCGTGTGTAAACACCAGGCATCTGTTTCTTGAGGGAGATAAGAAGACAGATGTCTAACAGAAAAAGATATTGTTATTACTGGCCCTATGAAATGGGGCTAGCCATGAGATGAGACATAATAGTAGATAAAATCAGATTTTAGTTGGCAGGCGTCCTTGATCTAGGAGAGTTGGCAGGTGTCCTTGATCCAGGAGAGCTGGTACCAATGGTGAAATCCCAGGAGTGGGTGCGGGTGTTTTTGGCATTTTCCTGGAAGAACTTTGTAGGTTGGTCTTGCCTTAGGCAGCAGTATTGACCTGTAAAATATGCTTGATACTGGCTGCAGTTAGTGTAGCAGTAAAACAATTAAAGGAATTGGAAACCCTGGATTTTACCAGACCTAATTCCGGTGTAGCAATAGGACTTTTCAGGTACCTGTAAGAGAACTGGAACAGATTTTATATTTTGGTGCCATAGCAAAAGGTTAGAAGGCAATTAAAGGAAATTGGGAACTTTGAACCTCTGAAGATTGAAACCTGTTAATCCTGGACTATGAAGCCTGTTAATGAATAGTACCTTGAGCTGTCAAATGCTTTTAGACAGATCTGAGAGGAATAAATGAACAAAAATGAGACAACTTTTGGCTAGGAGGCAATCCTAAATCTTCTCCTTGTCCTTAGAGAACATCAGTCTTAGAAGCAATGCTTGCCATTAGCTGCTGAATGCAAAAGACACAAAGATTTTTCTTGTGAGGGGGAACATTTAATCTACCTGTCTTAGCAGGATGAGCAGATCCATTCCCCAGGTAAAGCATCCAGAAAGCTAGAGTGGCAAAAGGCTGCTTTTGCTTCCATATGGGTGGCTTTGCCAAACCCAGAGCAAGCCTGGAGACAGCAGGTCTTCTGTCCTCTTGGAGAAGCCATAGGGTGCTGCAAAAGCTGGCATGTCTCTGTATGAGAAGATCTTGTTGTTAAAATGCTACAATCTCCGACCTATAAAGGCACTTGAGAACCAGGAACCTGGTATTTTAAACTGGGCATATAAGCTAAACTTGTGGAGCCATTGTAATCTAGCCGCACACATGTACATAAAACTTAAATTCACATAACAAAAACACAGTTACACACTTATTTAAACACATTGTGGTCACATTATTTTAACAGAGAAACAAATGGTACAGAATTAGAAACCTGTGTCATCTAACTAAGCATTGCAAGAAGGAACAGAAACATAAGGACGAAACATTTACAGAGTTTTACAGTGGAAGGATGAGGTGGGGGGAATGACATTGTTGTAGAGAGTCAGCAGGGAAGGGGGCAGCAATGGAGATGCCAGAGTGGTCCTGTTAGACCCTAAAGCCCACTTACTAAGGAGAGGTAACTCCAATAGACCACCCTTACACCACAGTTGATGCAAAAGCAAGAGGAATTTAATTTGACTGGCATGTCAGGGACCTCTGCCTCTGGAGGAAAAGGATCCCAAAAAGCTATTACAGGTATTACAGGCTTCTTTTAAAGAGAAAAAACACAGAACCAAAAGGGAAGTGCAGAAGTCGTTTGGCAGCTGTTGTGACTAGCTCATTCAATGGTAAGCTAACTATGATTGGTCATTGCTATGGCGATTGCTATGTTGGTTGAGCAAGGAGAAATACCTGCAGGTCATCTGCAGATCATTTTACCCTATTCCGGGACATGGGTCTATTGAAGAAAAACTACAAAGGGGATAGAAAATTTCAGGGGAAAGTACCCAAAGTTCTAGTGCACACATGGGTGATTATCAGGGTCCCAGTTTCCAAAGGAGGAGGGGCAGTAATGCTGAGCCCCAGGGTCTTTCAGTCCCCGTGTAGGCAGCAGAGACCAGGAACAGCTATGGAGAATTCTGGTGCGGTAAAGTTTGGTGGGGAAACAGCAAGCAGCAGGAAGTGGGAGGGCAGCAGGGGAGCTAGAGTGGACTGAGCACGGACTAGAGATCTGTCTGCCCCAGGCCCTTGCTCTTTGTGCCACCACTGTGGCTGACAAGGCTGAGTGCCCAACCTGTGCCAGGGCCTAGGGGACAGGACCCATCAAATCCTACGCCAGAGCCCATCCGTCATATGCCAAAGCCACTGGGCTTAGGGGATGTGATGAGAGCACTGTTCATGGACCAGGCCAAGATCAGAGCATGAGCATCTATAGGTCATGCTAGGGAGCCCCCAGGGGTTGGCATCTGGGAGACAGGAGCTGAGTGGAAGGGGGAAAACAGAAGTTGGGGCAAGACAAAAGAGCTGGCCCTGATTGAACACACAGAGAAAGGCAGAAGTGGGGGTGGGACCAACCACGTGGTTGTGAATGCCCATTAACTCCCCCCTGCCTATTTTTATAATAAAGAAAAGGGTGAAATGTTATCATTTCCTCCACCCAGTGCTTTGGCAAAATAAATAGCCACCACAAGTGCTAACATTTCCCAGTTCCACGATCATGCATGTGCCATCAAGTGTTCAGGCAACTTACACAGCCACCCAGGGTCCTCAATCCCTATGTTATCTATGTGAAGCATGATCATGTGATCTACACATGATGCAGCTACATAAGTCCCTGTGTGCATGTGCTAGGCAGCCTTTAAAAGCTTACCCTGCCCACCAAAATGATAAAGGTGGAAATCATTAACTCAAATGATAAAGATTTAAAGACTGGTCTTTAATTTAAAAACCTTTAAGAAAAATCTCTCAGAGGTGGGCAGAACTCTTTGGATTTTAGCTAATTCCAGAGTTAGTCAGCTTGACTACCAAGAAGAGCCATCACAACAGCCAAGGCAGAGAACTGAGATTGATCTCTTACCTGCAGGAGGCAAGGAAATCATGGGAGTTATTTCCAAACAATGCTTTTCCTAAACAAGGGAAGAATAGGGTTTTGCTTAGGGAGCTTGGACATGTCATGTAGAATTGTGCCTATTCTCAAGCATGCTAAGTTAGCAAATCCACTTCTGAACATATTCACAATGTAAAAGAAGGGATGTTTAGGGACATTATTTTAGGATGTCAAAGTCATGCAGGAACATATATAAATTATAAAAGTAGTGGAACAAAATGTCTCTGGCATGTTTACTGTGTACAATAACAAAAGGTCTTAGCCAAATTTAAGGAAATAATGTTGTGAAAATAGATTGCTTAGGAACCTATGCTACATATCAACCTTGATGTTTGATCTAAAAAGAGTTGTACCGATGCCACAATTCTCATAGATAAAAAGACAGAACACAAATACAGACATCATTAAGAAAAAGTCACCTAAGACCATTGTATACTATGCTCTTAGATGACGAATGGTTATGATGAGCTCTTTTAACTTCAAAACGAAGGTTCTTTTCTCTCTGAGCAGGCTAGCTAGGAGGAAGACCACAGTTGTTCCATGCAAGGCCAGAAAGAACTCATTTTTACTAACCCTGCATTCTGTCTGTGTCAAGCCTATGAAATCACTGTATAAAAATCCATTCTTTCCCTTTCCTTACTTCTTTTTTAAAATTCTAGTTATATAATGTTTTTCCTGAATGTGTCTGTACAGAGTACCTACAGAGGCCAGAAGAAGGCCAGAGATGCCTGGAAGCGGAGTTACAGGGTTCTGGTAATGGAACCTGGATCCTCTGTAACAATACCCAGTGCTCTTAATTGCTGAGTGATATCTCAAGTCCCTCTTTTTTATTTAAAAATTTTCAATATAGATGGAGGAGGCAGTGGTGGTAGTGGTGTGACAGGAGCCCTATGGAACCAGCCCAGTCCTACCTCAGCCCATCTTGACAAAAGCAAGTTCCATGGAACCATCACGAGGCCCTCCTGCTAGTGGAGCTGAGCCAGCTCGGGCAGTTGGCACTGTCAAAGTGTACCTGCCTAACAAGCAACGCACAGTGGTGACTGTCCGGGATGGCATGAGTGTCTATGACTCTTTGGACAAGGCCCTCAAGGTGCGGGGTCTCAATCAAGATTGCTGCGTGGTCTACAGACTCATCAAAGGAAGAAAGACTGTCACTGCCTGGGACACAGCCATTGCACCCCTGGATGGTGAAGAGCTCATTGTGGAAGTCCTGGAAGATGTGCCACTGACAATGCACAATTTTGTACGAAAGACATTCTTCAGCTTGGCCTTTTGTGACTTTTGCCTTAAGTTTCTGTTCCATGGCTTCCGCTGCCAAACCTGTGGCTACAAGTTCCACCAGCATTGTTCCTCCAAGGTTCCCACAGTTTGCGTTGACATGAGTACCAACTGCCGACAGTTCTACCACAGCATCCAAGATTTGTCTGGAAGCTCCAGGCAGCAAGAGGTTCCCTCAAAGATCTCTGTGAATGAGCTGCTAACCCCCCAGGGTCCAAGCCCTTACACCCAGCCCCGTGACCTGGAGCACTTCTCCTTCCCTGCCCCTGCCAATCCCCCACTGCAGCGCATCCGCTCCACATCTACTCCTAACGTCCACATGGTCAGCACCACAGCTCCCATGGACTCCAGTCTCATGCAGTTCACTGCTCAGAGCTTCAGCACCGATGCTGCTGGTAGAAGTGGTGATGGAGCTCCCCGGGGTAGCCCTAGCCCAGCTAGTGTGTCCTCGGGGAAGAAATCCCCACATTCCAAGTCACCTTCAGAGCAGCGAGAGCGGAAGTCCTTGGCAGATGAAAAGAAAAAAGTGAAAAACCTTGGGTACCGGGACTCAGGCTATTACTGGGAGGTGCCACCCAGTGAGGTACAGCTGTTGAAGAGGATCGGGACAGGCTCTTTTGGCACTGTGTTTCGGGGTCGTTGGCATGGTGATGTAGCTGTGAAAGTGCTCAAGGTGGCCCAGCCTACTGCTGAACAGGCCCAGGCCTTCAAGAATGAGATGCAAGTGCTCAGGAAGACACGACATGTCAACATTTTGCTGTTCATGGGTTTTATGACCCGGCCAGGGTTTGCTATCATCACGCAATGGTGTGAGGGTTCCAGCCTATACCACCACCTACATGTGGCTGACACGCGCTTTGACATGGTCCAGCTCATTGATGTGGCCCGGCAGACTGCCCAGGGCATGGACTACCTCCATGCCAAGAACATCATCCACCGAGATCTCAAGTCAAACAATATCTTCCTCCATGAGGGGCTCACAGTCAAGATTGGTGACTTCGGCCTGGCCACGGTGAAGACACGGTGGAGTGGGGCCCAGCCCTTAGAGCAGCCCTCAGGGTCTGTGTTATGGATGGCAGCTGAGGTGATCCGTATGCAGGACCCAAACCCCTACAGCTTCCAGTCAGATGTCTATGCCTATGGGGTTGTGCTGTATGAGCTTATGACCGGCTCGCTGCCCTACAGCCACATTGGCAGCCGTGACCAGATCATTTTCATGGTGGGCCGTGGCTATCTGTCTCCTGACCTCAGCAAAATCTTCAGTAATTGTCCCAAGACCATGAGGCGCCTGCTGTCTGACTGCCTCAAGTTCCAGCGGGAGGAGCGACCTTTATTTCCCCAGATCCTGGCCACAATCGAGATACTGCAGCTGTCACTCCCCAAGATTGAGCGGAGTGCCTCTGAACCCTCCTTGCACCGTACCCAGGCTGATGAGTTGCCTGCCTGCCTTCTCAGCGCAGCCCACCTTGTCCCTTAGACCCCACTCCCAGCCAAAAGGGAGCCAATTTCAACCTGCCATGACAAGGCATCCCTTCTTACCGGCCAGTCATTGTTCTGCCTCTGCCTTGATACTGCCTCAGGATTCCTTATCCCACACTCTGGGAAATTTGGGGGACCCCCCAAAATTGAGGTCTCCTGCTTCCTCCATAATTTGGTTTCCTCTTGGCTTTGGGGATATTTCTGATTTGGAGAACTGTTTCATCTCCAACGACTGGAATTCATGGTAAGGATTCCACTCAGAACCTCTTTCTAAGGTTTATGTTTGATGTGTCTTCACTGGATTTTGGGGTTCCCAGCGGCCCATGTGGATTTGGAAATTTCCCTTTTTCTCCCCCTATTCAAGGACTGTCCTCTTTACCAAAAAGCACAGAATTCTGCTGGGAAAATTTTTTTTTCAATATATCTTAATTAAAATATATTGTATCAATTCCATCTTTTTCTCCCTCCATTCTGTTCCACATACTGCACTTGCAATTTTTTCCCTTGATAAGTATGTATGAACAGGTATATTGAAATACATAAATACACCCTGCTGAGTTTGTTTTTGTTATTTTTATGTTTATTGCCTAAGGACTGACCATGTTGTATTTATGGAGCCTATCCCTGACTGAGGATAATTCTCTCACCTGAAGGAGAATTTCATTTCTTAATCATCATTAGGTGTCTGGACCTAATTAGGCTACTTTGTACTAGAAACAATCAAGAACATTAGATTTTCATTGGAAAATACTTTCCTAATAATGTTGTGCCTGAGTCCAAGGACCCCCAAGACCAGCACAGAGCCACACTTCTGAATGCAAAAGCAAGATTTCATTTATTAAGTACGGGCTAGCACAGGTCCTCTGCCTCACAGTCTGACACAGCAGATGGAGGGAGAAGGACCCTCTCTATTTTTGAAAGGGGTTTATAAAGACAAAAACCAAAATGGATCAAAAGGTTACAGTCCCAAAATACAATATTACTTATCCTATATCACAATTAGCTAAAGGTGAGGTAAAGCTCAGCTGTTAATTCCCGATAGGCTGTTAGTATCTAAGTGTGATAGCAATAATTCCTCTGGTTACATTCTACAGACATCTGCTGACCCTGTGCTAACTGCAGGGGTTGCTTGAAATATTTCCCAGCTGATAGGGGAAGTTGGGTGGGGGAATGGACTGCAGTCTGCAACTTTATGTAACTTAGGTTGCTCTGTTAGTTAATACTTCCCTTAGAGAGGGTTCCTACAGCCTTCAACTTATCCTGGGGGCTGGAGGCAGCCTTTAGCTCTTCAGCAGCCTTCAGCCTATTCTGGGGGCTTCAAGGTCCCAAAAGGGCCCAGCATAGAAATGGAATTTTTTCTTGCCTTTCATCCCCCCCAAGGAGTTCTAAGTGGAGTTCAATCCCAAACTCTAGGTTCCTCAACCTGATGAGAATAACTTGTAAATTCTATTTCATCTTCATTGGGAATGGAATAATAGTCAGAACAATATACATTAGCATTAGTACATGGAACCATAAATTGAATGGGATTAAGTCTTTGTTTTGCAAATCTTACCAGTCTGTTGATTATCATTGGGCCAGTAGTCAAAATGAGCAACAAAACCAATAGATTCCATAACAGCAGAAATAAGAGTAGTTACACAAGGAAAGCTATTAAACCAGAATTCAAACCATCCTTGTGAAGAGTCTAATTCTTTTTTTCTGCTTGGCTAATTCTTCCTTAACTTTGGCCAAATTGTCTCTAGTATGGAGAAAGTTAACAGCACTTTAGGGATGGCCTTTCACCACTGGACCCCTGTAATACTCAGCCACTACAGGTAAGGTGACCTTAAGAGACAGTGTAAATGTAGTCCAGTGGTCCCATAATATTCCAAGTAGATCAAAGTACCCTCATCTGTCAGAAGTGCTGGGATTAAAGACCTAGGCCACCTTGCCTCTGTATGGTTAGTGTGAAAACAGCATTCCTCTCCTAAAACTGCACAAAGCCTTTCTATGTAAGGGAGTTTTCTTTTGACTTAGCATCTCAACAAGGGATTACAGGATGATGTATTCTTTCAACTGCTTCCAGCCAACTTTGGAGCATCATTGTCAAGGACTAACAAAGGTGAAATGTAGTAGGAGCGGCGGTGAAATGCTAGTCAAAAACAAAGAGGAAATTTAGGCAATGGGTTATTTTTCAGGAGCTTCTAGCTTGTGGACTCTGTTAAATAGCTAGGGAGGATTTACATCGGCTAGACTGGTACATCAGTTTTCGTCATTTCTAGGGTCAACAGTTATTTGGAGTGGAGGTAGTCAGCAATTAATGCTTGGTTGTGTCTGCCAACCAAGAGGAAACCTGTTGAGACAAATTCAAACTAGGAACAGAAGTTAAGATTTATATATTTAAAGGAAGATTTGAGACTTTCAGGCCCATATTAAAATCCATATTGTAGAAAAAGCTAGTAATAAATATGAATAAAACAGTAAAAATAGATGCATACCTTTGAGTCCTAGCAAAAAAACAACAAAAAAAAAATTTGGGTTAAAAGTGTGTAAACATATAATTAGAAGACCACCAAAAGAAATTTAAAATCCTCAGCTTGTGACCCAAACAGTAAGCAGTCATTGCTTTATCAACTATTATAACTATAATATAGAAGGGGAAAGAAATCTGAAACATTATTAGATTTTAATTATTTATTTATACTGTTGTAACCTATATTTATATCTCAAATTTTCTTGATGTTGTCAAGATAACAAAGATACAGCTAGTCTAGCCATCAATACTATCAGAGATCTCAGAAGGATAAATTAATTTTATTTTAAGTACAGACCAAATAGCTTTCAAAACTATTCTAAATGACAAAGACCAGCCTATATACAGTCATATCCAGGTATCCATAGCATTGGAGGCAGAGATATCAGAATAGCAGGCTTTACCAAGAACATCAAGTGAGAGGTTTCTGTGGAAGAGGAACATGGAAAAGGCTGAGCTTATTTTGTATAGGCAAAAATGTGCAATCAATTCTCCGGTGTCCTCAATCTGGGCTTGTTCCAGGCAGCAGGCTGTAGCAGTGGGTACTCTTGTCCAGCACTCAGCATCATCATTATCCAGGTGGAGACACTGTGGCATCCCATTATCTTCTTTGGAGACCTTGGGTCACTGCTAGGATCTGGGAGTCACTGTCTGATATAAACTTTTTAATTGTCACAAATGCCATATTCCACAGATCTCTGAAGTATTTAGAACTACCCAGGTATATGTGATTAGACGAACTTTGTTACTAATTACTTGTTTTAAGCTTGAATTTAGGCAGCACGGAGATCCGATCTGGGCACCAGGAGAGCCATCATTGGGGTGAGTGAGTTTCTGACCAGCGGCAGCAGCCTGGAACAGGGAACTCAGACGTTCCTCATCCCTCCTACACTTCCTGGTCATCCTACAAGAGGCTATACTGCCCGATACCTCCTCTCTCTTCCTATCCCACCCAGCTTGCATCCAGAGCCCCCCCCCCCCGTCTGCCTCCCTCCCCTCTTTGGCCACATAACATCTCCCAGCTCAGCCTGTTCAGGCGCTGGGACCGACTCCGAATCGGGAGGGCAACCAGGAGGGCGGTAGTTCCTTTGTCTCAATAGCCTGCCTGCAGCAAGCAAGTTAGGCCCTTTGCTTACGAGCTACCGAAGCAGCATGGAGATCTGATCTAGGCACCAGGAGAGCCATCACTGGGGAGTGACATCACCCGGAAGGTAC